ACTAGCTCTGATGTTTTAATTGTAAACTGACGGACTAGCTCTGATGTTTTAATTGTAAACTGACGGACTAGCTCTGATGTTTTAATTGTAAACTGACGGACTAGCTCTTGTGTTCTAATTGTCATTTGATGGACTAGCTCTGGTGGTTTAATTGTAAACTGATGGACTAGCTCTGGTGGTTTAATTGTAAACTGATGGACTAGCTCTGGTGGTTTAATTGTAAACTGATAGACTAGCTCTGGTGTTTTAATTGTAAACTGACTGACTAGCTCTGGTGGTTTAATTGTAAACTGACGGACTAGCTCTGGTGTTTTAATTGTAAACTGATAGACTAGCTCTGGTGTTTTAATTGTAAGCTGATGGACTAGCTCTGGTGTTTTAATTGTAAACTGATAGACTAGCTCTGGTGTTTTAATTGTAAACTGATGGACTAGCTCTTGTGTTCTAATTATAAACTGATGGACTAGCTCTTGTGTTTAATGATACATTGACGGACTAGCTCTGGTGTTTTGATTATAAACTGATGGACTAGCTCTGGTGTTTTGATTATAAACTGACAGACTAGCTCTGGTGTTTTGATTATAAACTGATGGACTAGCTCTTGTGTTTAATGATACATTGACGGACTAGCTCTGGTGATTTGATTGTCCATTGAACTACCAGTTTTGGTGCTTTAATGATACATTGATGGACTAGCTCTGGTGATTTGATTGTCCATTGAAGTACCAGTTTTGGTGCTTTAATGATACATTGACGGACTAGCTCTGGTGATTTGATTGTTCATTGAAGTACCAGTTTTGGTGCTTTAATGATACATTGACGGACTAGCTCTGGTAATTTGATTGTCCATTGGAGTACCAGTTTTGGTGCTTTAATGATACATTGACGGACTAGCTCTGGTAATTTGATTGTCCATTGAAGTGCCAGTTTTGGTGCTTTAATGATACATTGATGGACTAGCTCTGGTGATTTGATTGTTCATTGGAGTACCAGTTTTGGTGCTTTAATGATACATTGACGGACTAGCTCTGGTGATTTGATTGTCCATTGAAGTGCCAGTTTTGGTGCTTTAATGATACATTGATGGACTAGCTCTGGTGATTTGATTGTTCATTGGAGTACCAGTTTTGGTGCTTTAATGATACATTGACAGACTAGCTCTGGTGATTTGATTGTCCTTTGGAGTACCAGTTTTGGTGCTTAGATCATTTATTTCATGTTGAATGTAGGGGAACAAGTTTTTACTCTCATCGTGTTTTTACACGAATTATCAGTTCTTTTGTTGTTAAAATGTTAATTTTGTTATGTACATTTTGAAATAAAGATTTTGAGGAGTAACTGAAAACTTTTGTAAGAAAATATCGAAAATACCCTTCAATTTTGTGTATAATTGAATGGGTGGGGCTTAACCGTGCTATAACAAGTTTAAATTCGAGTTATACTACTTTTTCCTCTACTGACATATTAGCTTTCTTCACGTGCCTCAAACAGGACTGGATATCCTTTACAACAGACTGGATATCCTTTATGACTGACTCGATATCCTTTATGACAGATTTGATATCCTTTATGACAGATTTGATATCCTTTATGACAGATTTGATATCCTTTACAACAGACTGGATATCCTTTATGACAGATTTGATATCCTTTATGACAGATTTGATATCCTTTATGACTGACTCGATATCCTTTATGACAGATTTGATATCCTTTATGACTGACTCGATATCCTTTATGACAGATTTGATATCCTTTATGACTGACTCGATATCCTTTATGACAGATTTGATATCCTTTATGACAGATTTGATATCCTTTATGACTGACTCGATATCCTTTATGACTGACTCGATATCCTTTATGACAGATTTGATATCCTTTATGACTGACTCGATATCCTTTATGACAGATTTGATATCCTTTATGACTGACTCGATATCCTTTATGACTGACTCGATATCCTTTATGACTGACTCGATATCCTTTATGACAGATTTGATATCCTTTATGACAGATTTGATATCCTTTATGACT